ACACACACACACACACACACACACACACACACACACACACACACACATATCCATACACATCCACACACATGCAAACATGCATGCGAGCCACATGTTTCAGGGTTTTTGTCCTTTTTTTCCCTCTCTCTTTAAAAAGGTGTCTTAGCTGTATGTGGTGGCACACAACCACAATTCCAATACTTGGGAGGTAGGGCCAGGAAGATCAGAAGTTCAAGCTGCATAGCACCTAACAAATTGGAGGCCTGAGCTACATGAGAATTTATCTTAACCTCTCTCCCAGGAAGAAAAAACAACTGATTGTGACTATGTCCCGCCTAACCACAAACAAAGATGCTCTCTGGCTCCTGTCTCTGAACTGGTCCATGTGATTGACACAGTAGCAATATGGAGCTTCCTGGGATTCCTTGCATCTAGCCCCCATGACCACCATTTGTTTACTTAACAATGGACATTTGAACAAATATGAGCCATATTTTCCTCTTCAGAAACCTGGAATAAGATATGGGGAAGAGCCATAGTGTTAGTGATTGTAATTAGGCATTTAACCAATGCCTATTATTTGATTTCAAATTTATCAACACAATTTTTAAACTAGAATTCTTTATAGCTTGGGATCGAGAAAGTGATATTTGAAAAAAGTGACTTTGAAAAGTCACTTTCCAAGGCACTTAAAGACAGTGAGAAAGCAGTCATAATCAAGCAGGACAAAAGCAGAATAGAAAAGATGGGACTCCATAGGAAAAAATAATGAGTAAATGCAAAGTTTCCCTGAAGGATTTATTCAAGTTTCAAAGTTACAGCTCCCACCTCATGAGAGAAAATTCTCCTGGAGATTCTCTGCTTAATAGAGTAGGTCCGCAGAGAATATGAGCCTTATTCTCAAGATCTGGGACAAAACATTCACTTTGTACCTAAATAAATATTGTATTGAAGTATTCTGCCTCATGTCATTTATTATCACCTTTGTGTGCCTTGACTTAATACATTTTAAATACGATGGAAAGCGAAGCTGTGTGATTGTGCAGCAGCATGGATATTTCTGTCAGAACCTAGTATCTTGGGAATGTGCTGTTTGATGGCCAATTAATGGTTTTTAAAATAAGCTTAAGGAGTTGACCTCATTTTGTTTTTTATTCTAGATGAAGTTGGATGCCTGGGGAACTAAACAGTCTTCAGGGATGGCTGGCCCAGGTTTTAGCTCCTACTGTTAGCTAGTGGGTCACTTCTCTTTCTTTAAAGCATGCGGATAATAACACTATGGAGCTGAAAGGTTTGAAATGAGGATAAAAGATAAAATAAGACTCAAAATGCATTAAGAGCTTGAAACAGTAATGACAAGTGCAAATACAGTTCTTATTAATTGGGTATTTTATTGGTTCCTACTTAAAAAAATAAACAAAGCTTTACCTGTTTTAAAAAAACCTTATCATTCTGCCTCCTAACTTTAACTAACTCTAAATAAAACTAGTTTTTATACTTAATTCCCATAATACAATTTAAATAATCATTCTTCTATAGCAAGAGGTCAGGCAAAAAGTCCAAGATCCACTTTGCAAACCAGTTGCAAAGCCTAATTTTATCATTTCACAAAAAAAAAAAACAAAAAACAAAAAAAAAAACAACAACAACAAAAAAAAACTTAAATGCTATTTCAGAACTCATATGCAGGGACAAAGGTCCACTTAGTATTTTTTTTCTTTTATAATTTTTACATCTGAAGTTTATATGTAAAATGCAGTTTTGACTGGTATAGGAATAATGATGAGTAAAAAAATAAATAAATCTTATTATGTACCTTTTTTTTTAAGCCAAAAGTACAACCTGATTGGTCCTTTGAATTTCTGTTAAACTGAGCCAGTAACTCAAAGGTAAAATCAAGCCCATCAAAGCCCAGCAAGGATGGAGAAGGGACTCATAATGTCCTACCCATAGTTGAGGAGCTATTGGCAATTGTTGGCTCCTAGAGAAGGGGAAAAACAGCTTTCATTTGGAATGTGACCTCTCCTTCACTGCCCGTGCTCTGTTTGTATGGCCCTACAAATGTACTCTCAGTATAAATAGGACTCAGTGGGCTCAAAAGAAGAGTGCATGGAGTTGAAAAAGAGACTGTCTTGGGTGGGTGTGTTAGAAGTTAGAAAAGAAAGACAAGAACACAGATGGATTTGATCAAAATGCACTGTATATACGAATGAAATTCTTTTAAAAATACAAATATGTTTTAAGAATAAAAAGTAATTAAACCCTATTAAATTTTTGAAGGTAATTTATTTATTTTTTATATTCGGCTTCCTTTGGGCACTATTCCTTAACAACGCTTCTTGAATTGTGTTTCATAATAGACATTCTGCCAGATGGAATAGACAGAGGCAAATTATTATTAAAAATGAGTTAAAAAGTAAAAATAAGTATAAATAATATGTTAAAATAATCCCATGCCTTTTACTTCATTGCCTTCCTTCCCACAATATTCAGAACTCAAGGAGGAGGGTTAAGTTTACTCTGGCCCATGAGAATTCAAAAATAGAAATATAGGCTTTTAGCTCTATCATAAAGCAACTAGTAATTCATTGCTCCCTTTAAACTAACAATGCCTTTGTGCTGTAGCTTTTCTTCGCAATTTGAACAACATTTTAAGAAAATAAGACACTAATTTTCAATAACAATTTCACCAAGCAATTCCATACATGTGACCAAAAGCTGTGTTGAATTCTATGTCAAGGCATTTGATTGAAATAAAAATCAGAGGAATTAATTTTGTATTGTATAGATGATAAAGCTTCATTAAGCTTTTCTTTCTCAATTTGGCTGCCTGTGGAAATGTAGGGTTTAGATAAGTGTAGAAAAAAACAAAACAAACAAACAAACAAAAAAACCCAAAAAAAAAAAAAAAAAAAAAACCACAACCTTGGTTGGGTACAGCCTTGCCAGGCCACAGAGGGAGACAATGCAGACAGTCCAGATGAGACCTGATAGGCTAGGGTCAGATGGAAGGGGAGGAGGACCTCCACTATCAGTGGACTGGGGGAGGGGCATGAGAAGAGAAAAGGGAGGGAGGGTCTGACTGGGAGGGGAGGAGGAAGGGGTTAAAGCTGGGATACAAAGTGAATAAATTTTAATAAATAATAAAGTAAAAATTAAAAATTCCTTTGAAGTGTGGGGGGGGGTTAGAGTGTGTGTATGTGTGTGTCTGTGTGTATGCAAGAGAGAGAGAAAGATTTAAATCATGTATAACCTTACATGAAAGAATACCTGTAACAATACGAACACCTGAGGCACTTTAAGCCTTTGATATTTTTTATTTTTGCCCAGAATTCTTAATATTCTGTTTCATATAAATGTGATTTTATCATATTGACTTTCTAGTGAGTCATGGACAGACCTTAACTCAGCCAGACTTACTCCTAGAGCCAGGCTCCATAGCTAAGAGGCTGTATCACCTTATAGTAATCAGGGCTTGCACAGTGACAATGCACACTTAAAACCTGTGACTGACTGGGGGGAGAATAGCAAGGTTGAGTGTGCACAATATGGAATACCGACAGAATGGTTTGAGCTTCCTTTTAAACCAAGCAAACATCTGCAACCTTTATCTGACTTCTCTCTGAGCTATTAAGAAAGCAAAACACATTTGTATTAAGTACTAATTTTAAAAAAAGCATTTAAAAATAATAATATATATGTGAAGTATCTAGTGTTATGTTTTAAATTGCCTCTTTACAATGGCTTGGTTATATTGATACCAATTCTTACTTTTTCAAAGATGTTCTGGAAGAAAAGGAAGAATGAACACCCCACAGTTCAACTTTTAGAAATAATTTGGTGAACATTTTACAACAAAGCACATTTCTCTCTCCTATATTTCTCCATCTCAAGTATTCTTTTCTTTCTAATCAAGGTAAAGAAGTATTCACTCAATTTTGGTATCCATTTTCCATACATAGACAAAAAGCATTCTGACATGGCACAGTGCAAATGGCTATTTGCTCTGTAAGTAGTGCTTATCGGAAAGTTTGACATTCCTGAATCCACCTGGCCACACAGCTTAAGTGAAAGCCACATGGCACTGTGAGTCCTGTGGACAAAAGTCAAGCAGGGCAGTTATTTTAGGGGTGAAAAGGGGAACACTACAATGGTTGGTCGATAAACACAGAAACTCATGTGTGTGTGTGGTGTGTATGCGATAGAAATATGTGTTGTCTAATATAGACATGTAATTCATTATAATGCACACAGAGACACAAAATTATAACCAACAAAGACTTTTCAAGTCGTTTCTCAAATATTTTCTTTAAACACATATTTTTAAAATACTGGAAATGACAATGCTAGAAATGACAGACAAGCTTCACTCATGATACCTCAACAAGGTGTCTGCCTTAACAGGACCTGAAGAAGTACAATACCAGTTATCATTTTAACATTTTAACATGGAAAGGGGAAGGTCTCACAGGACCTACCATTGAGAAAGAACTACAGGCAACTAAAGAATGCTCAGAAAGGGAATTACTCTTCCCTAGGGATAAGCCCTTAAATTATTATCCAATACCAAGTGGATATTGCCCTGAAATGGGCTAAGCACTATATTTACAATTTTTAGACATATATATATATATATGTCTCCATATATACATGGAGATCATGACTTCAAGTAGAAACAAGGAGCACCTTAATTTAAAATATCTAAACAAATCCCCCAAATCGAACATATATTGTCACTTACCATATCGTGGTCTGAAACAGGTCCAAAACTGGTGACAAAGATGTCAGTCTTCACTTCAGTTACACGCTCTGATGAAGCAGGAAATTGTGCCAGTGAGTGTCTATCAACAGCCTCTATTAGAGCTCACTATCACAAACTCACACCCAAATGGGAAATTTATTGGCTTTGATTAGCCATTTTCAAAATTGGTCCACTGCGTAGTTCTGATAATTGACTGCTTACACATGGAATTTCACAGTTAATATTTTCAATGGAGAAAAGGTCCTAAATATGCCACCTTGGGAGACTGACTTTCAGGAGATCTCAGCTGCCTCTTAATGAATTTTTAAAGAACGGACACACTTGCCTCAGTGATACTGAACCCACTTCCCATTATAATAAGAAATATGTTACCATAGAAATCTGCTTAAAGTTTAAATAATTTTGCATAGTCAGACAGAACTTTCAGGTATGCTGCCTACCCTTGGGAGGCGTAGAGGGAGGCTTAGCAGCCTTTATGGAGCCTTTAAGGTCTCAAGTGTATGCTTTACAAACGATTGCTATCTGTTACTAAATCATAACTGAATTATCCAAATTACTCCCTGGGAAAAGTATGACAAATGTGGAAGCATTTTTAGTTTTGAGGATGAGGCAAACATATTGTGGCGTGGAAAAAGTTAATTTAGTATGCTGCTTCACGGTGAATGTAATTTTATTATAGTAGCCTCTGATGACCTATATATAAAGCAATAAAATATATTTATTGGAGTTTTGTGACAACTCAACACAGATATTTTATACGAAATACAGTTGCTAACCAAGAAACAGGAAAACATTGCTGGCTGAAAGGAAACAATTTGTTGAGGGGTGAGAATGGAAAAAAAGGCTATATAATTTTCACCTGCACTCTGGGAAATGACAGTCTAGTGTCCTAAGTGGCTCCTATCATGTGTGCTTCCATTTCTATCTCTATTAGAGGACACTGAAAACATCACCCTATCTCTGCAACAGTAAAGTCTTTTGAGAATCGAGAGCTAGCCTGTCTCCTTCAGCAATTCATTCCTGGACACTAAAAACTTCAGGATAAATGTTGCAAAGAGGTTAATCACAATCAGCAAAAACAGTTACTGGAGGAAATCTTGTTTGAGATAGCCATTTCACTTTTTCTTGTCTGAGCAACATAATTTCCTGATATTAAAACAATCCAATAGGCTTCCTCACATTACCATTATCTCTAGGTTACTCTCTAAGCAGTTTTGATTTTTTTTTCATAGCTTTTGACTAGAAAACACAGTTTTATGTGCTTAGATCTCACTTCTGTATGCATAAAGTTATTGTGTAATTCAAATGCTGATTTTTGTATCCCTCACCCCCAATCTGATTACAATCCTTGTTCTGAGAATCTCCTATATCAATGTTTTGAAAACACTGCTCCTCAGTTGTCCTCTTATATGCCAATAAAGCGCTTACAGCCAATCACTGAGCAGGGGAGAGAATAAGGGCTGGACTTCCTGCCAGCCAGAGGAGGAGGAGTTAAGGGAGGAAATACTGGACTGAGCCGTTGGCTCAATGAGCTCAGCAAGCAAAGCTATAAAGTGCAAGTATCTCTAGGATGCATGCTAGGAGGAAGCCAAGTTATCATAGTGTTAAAAATAGTGGACTGCAGATGTAGCCCATGGCAGTTCAGTGTCCAAGTGGGTTCCATAGTACTGGGGACAGGGACTGTCTCAGACAGGAACTGACTAGCCTGCTCTTTGATCACCTCCCCCGGAATGGGGAGCAGCCTTACAGGCCACAGAGGAAGACTCCTGATGAGACCTAATAGACTAGAATCAGAAGAAAGGAAAAAAAGACCTCCCCTATCAGTGGACTTGGGGAGGGGCATGCGTGGAGAAGGGGGAGGAAGCGAGGGATTGGGAGGGGAGAAGGGAGGGAACTACAGGGGGATACAAAGTGAATAAAGTGTAATTAATAAAAAAGTAAAAAAAAAATCTTTAAAAAATGTTAAAAAAAAGACTAGTGGACTGAGGGAGGGTCATAGGAAAAGAAGGAGGGAGGGCAGGATTGGAAAGGAACAAGGGAGGGGGCTGCAGATGGGATACAAAGTGAATAAACTGTAATAAAAAATTTAAAATGAAGTGGAAAAAAAAGAATAGATTAGGAACTTCTCAGTTCTTGTGCTGTGAAGCTTGTTAAAATAATAAGAAATATGAAGATATTTGATAAGCTAGGGTCAGATGGAAGGGGAGAAGGACCTCTCCTAGCAGTGGGCTTGGAAAGGGGCATGGGAGGAGAGGAGAGAGGGTGGGGTTGGGAGGGAATGAGGGAGGGGGCCACCGCTGGGATAAGAAGTACATAACCTGTTCTTAATATAAAAATGAAAATTAATAAAAAAATTAATAAGAAATAATAAAGTCTCAATTATTTGTGTTATAGCTTGGGTAAGAGAGAAACTGAGAAACAGAAACAGTTTTATAATAATAACCATGACACACTTCTAAGTTCATCCCCCACCATGCTGTAGCAGAAGAGGCACAGGTGCCCAGCAACACATCTCAGCTCTGGTACCCACTCTCCTCCTACAACCTTGTCTCTGCATCCTCTATCTCTACCTTCATGTATCCCTGTACCTCTATCACAGACTTGTTTCTCCATATATTTTTTTAACTATGATAATTTTTCCTCAATTAAAACCCCTCACTATTTTATATAATAACTAAAATATAGTTACATAATGTATTTCACTACAATGATTTCATGTGTGTGTGTGTTCTGTTTATCTTAAGATTTTTACAGTTAGTCACATTTTATTACATATAAAGTTGTGACCAATTATCAATAACCAATTTTAAAAAAAGTCAGTGCCACATATTTATAAAAACTAGTGCATACCATAATATGTAATACCTTTTTCAATTATCTTCTGTATGTATGACTTATATTTTCTTTGATACAATAAAATAGACATGTCTTGTGAGAAAGCAAAGAAAGAATAACAGCATATATCAGAACATTAGGAAAATTTGTACTGTAAAATATTTCTGATGAAGTAAGCCTCTTAATGAAAATAAGTTTTATTATTATTGTTGTTGTTGTTGTTTGTAATTCACTTTTGTGCCCACTGAAGCTGGGCAATAGGAAGAATTTGCAACAAATTCATTTTCTGATACATCTTCATCATATGATCCAATAGTCCTGTTGCACATTTGTTTTTAATTATTTGAGTCAGTGAGATTGAATTTCCAGAGTTCAAGTCTTATTTTTTATGGTGAGTATTAAATAAAAACTAGAGCAATTATCTCATGTAACCTAGTCATATATGGAATCAAAGTTATATCTGCTTTTGTATTTTACTTTTCATTCAAGAGATGCACGCTCACTTAGGGAATGCTGACTAATCTGTCTGCATATTGGCATACATTTGCCAACTTGGGGTACCCTCTTACAAATGCATGCCACTATTACCTGTTTCTTTTGTGTGAAGACAACTTAGTTTCTATCACAGAAATCCTACAATGTAGCTGGTCTAAGGGAACTGGACCAGCAGAATTTTTACTATCAACTCTTTGTCTTTTCATGCATGATACATGAAGTGGCCTGAAGAAGTGAGATGAAAATTTACAGAATGTACAGGGTTTCCCCCCATTGTTTTAAGATAGATGGTTAATAGATGGCAGCTACACAATCAATAATTTTGAAGGACTAAAATATTATCCATAAAGATCATTGTGTCAAACAAGTAAAACATGATATGTGGTTAAATTTAGGTCCATCTATTGCCATGAATAATTGTACCTGTGCCATACAGAGATTAGGAAAAATGGAAAGTAATTTACATAAATTACTATAACTACATTTTTAAAATCTATTTTGTCATCTTTTCTTCATCCTTGGTCTATAACCAATTTATTGTATCAGTTCAGGACCTTCCATTACTTCACTTTTGTTTAACAGCCACTAGGACTTGCTAGCACTTACTTTCACTATATTCCAAAACAAGAAATCTGACCTCAAATATTTGCATCCAAAGGATTTGAAATGACTTTCTCACTATATTCTCAAATCATGTTTATCCTTAAAGTGTTTCTGACTATTAGTCTCTGACATTTTCTTTTTATCCTCCCAGTAGGCAAGAAAGAAAGAAGAAAAAAGAAAGGGAGGCAGAGAGATAGAGGGGAGTGGAGTAGAGGGGAAAGAATGGAAGGGGTAAAGAAGGAAAAAGAGAAGGGAAGAAAAGCAAAGATAAAATGCAAAGGGAGGAGAAGGAATAGAAGAAGAGGGAAGGGGAGGAAAAGCAAAGGAAACAGAAGTTGCAAACCTGAAGTGTGCCTCTGAGGGATTGTAAAGACTAGTACGGAAGGTAAGTGGTGTAGTAAAATGGGGAAGAGGCACAGTCAAGTAAAACTCAACCTGCCTCTCAGTTCTTGAGAGGCATAGAACAATTTTAACAGGAAAATGAACAATTTCTCTGCTTCTTTCCTTTTTTTTTTTTTTTCAGTTTTTTGAGACAGGGTTTCTCTGTGTAGCCTTGGTTGTCTTGGACTCACTTTGTAGACCAGGCTGGCCGCAAACTTACTTCTTTCTTCCTTAATGTCCATAAGAAACTATGTTGTAAGTAAATAAAGTCAGCCTTAGTGACCTATTTGTTTCCCAGAGTTATTTGAAAATGCTTTTTCAAAAACCATACAAAAGTTTTATGGTGAATTTGAGGCCAACATAATAGATGATGTTTTGACCTAAAATCCATTGTTAACAAGATTAGACATCTCAAGAAGATATTAAGATATCAAATACCAACATTTAAATAATCTTTTCATTCGTCTGTGGCTTTCCTTACACAATACTTTTTTCACCAACCCAGCCTACATTCAGAGGAAAGGACAAGCTCTTTGACCAAAAATGGACCTTTCACAGGTAGCACATTGGAAATGCCCTGAGAGCTCTGTGAGTCACTCTTCTTTATAATCCCAGAGTCTCCAGAGAGAGCATCTCTGCAAATGAATCTCAGAGGAATCAGTGGAGTGGCTACCTCCCACTGAGGGCTAACAAGTGGTGAGCTAAAGTTATGACCTCTCTAGACCCAGGAAGA